TGGTCTCCTTTCTCCGCGCCCTCATAAGTGGTGTCGGCTTGACCATTCTCAGGAGCAGAGCCCCTGCTGTAATAACCCCCATCCTAGAAAACAAAACTTCTCTGCTGGGGCCTGGCTGGTGTGGCTCAGTTAGTTGAGCATCATCACATGCACCGAGGGGTTGCTGGTTTGATTCCCAGTTGGGGCACGTGCCCAGGTTGCAGGCTCAGTCCCCAGGAAGGGGTGCGGCAGGAGGCAGCCGGTTGATGTTTCTCTCTTGCATCAGTGTTTCTCTCTCTCTCTCTCTCTCTCTCTTTCTCTCCCCTTTCTTCTCTCTCTCAAATCAAGAAAAACGTATTGAAAAGAAAACATTCCTGTGGCTCTGAGTCACCTCTCCAGCTTCCACATCTTTTCTTTCATTCACAGCAGAAGTTGTACCTACCACTTCCTCCGCGTCCTCCCATCGTCACCCCAGCCCACTCTAATCAGGCGTGTCCTCCACATGCTACCAGAGCAGCTCTCCCCAGAGTCGCTGCCGACCTCCGCTTGCTGGGCCCAACAGCGAGCTCTCAGGGGCCAGCACTAGACAGCTATATTTTAAGAAATATGTTTTTATTGATTCAGAGAGAGAAAGGGAGGGATAGGAACATCAATGATGAGAGAGAACCATTGATCAGCTGTCCTGCAGGCTCCACACTAGGGATTGAGCCCGTAACCTGGGCATGTGCCCTGACCGGGAATCAAACCCTGACTTCCTGGTTCATAGGTCGATGCTCAACCACTGAGTCACACTGGCCAGGCCATCTTTCCATCTCAAAGCACTCCAACCCGAGCCCACGTCCTCCAGCTCTCTCCTCCCTTCAGCAGCCACCCCCTCTCACCCTTGGGTGCCTTCACCTTGTCACCTGTCGCATTGCTCAAGTCTCAGCCCTTGGTCTCCTTCTTCCCTCTTCTCCTTCCCGGGGGATCTCATGCATTGTCATCGCTTTAAATGCCAGAGACAGGCTCAATGACGCCGAAACTCACCTTCCCACCCATCCAGTCACTCAAGTATCTGTTCAGTGCCTGTGTGTACCAGCTGCTGTCCCCATTGCTGAGGTACATCTATGAGAGGAACGGGCAAAACCCATGGCCCGAGCTTGTGCTCTCACAGGAAGATGGGCAATAAAATGAGCAGAGGAGAAAGGAGACATGTGCACTACTCTCTGGAATACTTTAAACAATAACATTTAAAAACAAGCCAACGTGGCACAGATGCAGACAGGCAGCCTGCGTATAAGAAGGCAGGATGTGATAGGGAAAACACAGATCAGCGCACAGGAGCCAGGAAGGCTGGAGTAAAGGGCAGGTTTGGGCACTGCATGGAGGCAAAGGAGGCAAGATGGTTTTGTTTTTTTTCTGGGTGAAATGAAGATTGGCCAGAGGGTTCTGAGCAGAGGTGTAACGTGGTCTTGCTGAGGGTTTAAAAGGATCATTTCATCAGCTCTGTTAGGAATATCCTCTTGATGGTGAAGGGCAGGGCCCAGAGGTGATGCTGGGAGACCATTTGGAAGATGTTCGGGTCATAGAAGTGGCAAGATCAGGCTCCAGTTCTATTTCAAATGGGGCTGACGGGGTCCCTGGCAGGCTGAGGGGCCAGGGGAGGAACGTGGTCAAGGAGGACCCCAGGGTTTTAAACGTGAGCAATAAGAGGACGGAGTCACCACTGAGGAGACGGAAGCTGGAGGAGGTTCCCTAAGGGGAGATGGGGATGTTCCTTCTGGACACGTTGGGACTGAGATGTCTCAGGCGTCCAGAGAGGTCCTGGGTGAGCAGACGGACGGTGACCCTGGAGACAGGGGCAGGGTAAGAGCCCAGTCACCTGGGAGAGAAGTGGAGAGAGTAGGCGGAAAAACAAGGAGGGAGAGGAGGAGGGGAGGGAGGAGGACGAAGAAGCTGCACACACCAGACCCCCTTTACCTCCGCGCGATTAACTTCTTCCATCTGTCAAAAGTGTCCAGCGTCAGGGCCTCCTCCACCTGCCGCATGTGGCCCTTGTCGGGAAGAATGAAGGTGGCCGAGATGTTGTGGAAGTAGGGCATCTCCAGGACGGTGCAGCCGAGCTGCTCGTCATAGCCCATTGCATACATGCCCCCGTGGAACATCATGGGCACCTTCACGGGCCTGTTTTCATCCAAAAAGAAGTCTTCCTCTTTAGTTGATTTTGGGTCAAACTCGTGTAGCCACCTGGCTTCAGATGGAAGGAGGACAAAGCGGTGTGAGTGTCCTGAAGGAGAAGAAGGGACTGGACCCCGCTAAGCACTGGTCTCTGTCCTCATGCTGAAGTTCAGGGAACGGGTTTGGAGGCTCTGGGCTATCAGGACGTATCCTCAGGAGTCCTGTTCTCATGACATGCCCTCAAGACTTCCGGTGAGGTGGGCTGGGAGTTGACTACCGGTTCCTATAGAAGCCAGGCCTGGGGCTGCTGAGCCAAGAGGAGAGCTTCCGGCAGCCCTAAGCCCAGGTCCTCCTGAGGGTGAGAAAGGCTATGGACTGTCCCAGCAAAGGGGACTAGATTATACTGAGGGGGGTGATCTGGGTCTGGAGTGAGAGACAATGCCCAGCTTTATTCTAAGCCCCGGGGTTGCTGCTCTCACCCGGGACTGAGCACAGGGATGGAGCAGTCTGCCCGTGGGAGCCTGCTGAAGAGAGTGAACTCCCAGAGCCGGGTGTTTGGACCCTCCTTTTCTATCCTGAGGATTCTTTGATGCTGTTGGGCACAAACCCAGACCTGGGTCTTTGCACTACCTTCAAAGGCCCACCGTTCAAATTCTCTCTCTGCTGTTCTACATGGATAACCTTGGGCAGGTGTCTTACCCTCCCTGGGCTTCAGTGTCCTTATATGGAAAGGGAGTATTGATGGAGACCTCCCAGAGCCGCTGAGAGCCTGGGGAAAGGTTGCACAGCGTAGTGACTATGTATAGTAGGTGTTGAGTGAATGCTAGTCATCTGCATCATCATCACCATGGTTCTTGTAATCTAGGGGGTGCAGGGACTAAAGGAATTTCCAGATTCCCCTTTCTTCCTCTGCTTTGGGAAGACTGAGATTCCAGTCTGCCATTTTCACTCCCTCCCCACTTCCCCGCTGTTGCCACTCATCTCCCTGTGGATTTTGGGAGAATTGAACTTCCATATTTAGAACCATGCTGCTGACAACCCAGCAGTAATCTTATGTGGCCTGAGGGCTGTTGGCCTCTGATTCTTAACTATGTTGGCCAACCTTTGTGTGAACGTGTAGGTGTGTATGGTGGGCGGGATGATGCTTGGATTTGGGAATATTCTTCCACCTTCCTTTTCACTCTTACCCTGAGACACGAGAATCAACAGGGTTTGATAGGAGATCAAAGCAACCACCAAAGTGGTCACCATCACCATCACCAACAAGACGATCACCATCCCGGGCATCTACTTAGAATGATGGAAAGTGCACATCTCCTGGGCCAAGAGAAGTGGGTTTGAGTTCTCACTTCCATTGACTGGCTTTGTAACTGAGTAAGGCAATTAATGTCTCTCTAAATTTCACTTTCCTTTTCTAAGAAATGAGGAAAAGAATGTCACTGCAACCCCTGTAACCAGTGTTGTGTTAGGATAATCAGTAATGATGAAAAGTGCACATGGAGAGCATTTAGACTTCACAGAGTTCATTGTGCATACATGTTTGCTTCGAATACCCATGACTGCCCTATGAGTTATGTAGCAAGGCACTCATTTTGCCGATAGGAAAAGTGAGCCTTTGAGAGATTAATCACTTATGAATTCAAGGTCACAGAGCAAGCAGGTGGCCAAGCCTGGTTTTCAATCCAAGTCTACTGGTCATGTTCTCTTTTCCATGCCAAGCTGTCCCTAGCCTTACCTCGAAAGTAAAGACAGTTGACAAGAAGCATCACAGTGCCAGGATCTATATCCTTGACCAGGTTATTGATTTTCCCCTGGGTTTGCTGACTGACGTAGTCATTGATCTGCTTCTGAGCGGTTTGGACGTCCTGGAAGTTGGTGGGGATGCTGTTTGCATTGTACAGGTTCTTAGCATCTGCCATAAACCTCTTCTCTGGCCGCAGCTTCCGGTCCAGGAACAAGGTGTTCTCGAGGCTCAGCCGGAGGCCCTCGGCCTTCTGGTTCAGCCTCTGGATAAGGTAGTGGAAACCCTCATGAAGGTCTCTGTCCGGCATATTCCTGAAGTTGAAGCCCTCCTTGATCTCGGCCAGCGTGGAGTTCTGGGCACCCAGACACAGCATGGCGAAGGCGGTGGAGATGCTCATGGGGGAGAAGAAGATGTTCTTGCTGGGGCCGGTGGCGGCCATCCTCTTGTACAGCTCGAAGCCAAAGCCCACGTTCCGCCTGGCGAGCTCCTGGGCTGCCCTCCTGCCCGGCTGCTCTTGGTCCCGGCTCACGGCGCCAGGATTCTTGGGGGAAACGGCGGGTTTCCGAAGACCTTCTGCGGTGAGGAGGCCGGCCAGCAGCAGGCCCAGGCCCAGCGTGAAGTTCATCTTCCTCAGAGATTGTCCTGTGGAGGAGTAGACCTGCGGTTAGTGGGAAAAAGAACAAAAGAGCCCCTCTGCCCCTGTCTTACCCATGAGGAGGACATGAGAGAAGCAGTGCAGTGCCTCGTGCGTGCTGTGCGCAGCGGTTTATCAGCGCGTTGGCGTCCATTATAGCATTTCACCCAGACCGTCGCCCCGGACAAGAAAGGATTGTCCTCCTTCATAACTGCGAGGCCTGACCAGAGGAAACAGCTCTTGTTTGGGTCCCCATCGTCCCCATCGTAGGGTGACAGAATCTCAATTCCTTTGAGGAACTGCCCCCTCTACTCCACTGGGTGACAAGAAGGAAACGCCAGTGTGGCCACGGGACCCAGGTGAGGCCACCACAGTACTTCACCCCCTGCCACACTGATTGGTAAAGACGTGTGAGTGTTTCCCAAAGCAGATCATCAGTGTCGTCCCCTGGGAATGTACAGGCGCCTTAACTCTGAGGGTCTGGCTTAATGATGCAGCCCTGGAGCCTAATGTGGCCCTGGCTTCCATGGGTAGAAGGAGAGAAGAGAGAGCACGAGAGAAATGGGGAGAAATACTTGGTGACATCTTTGGAGTCCCTGAATCAAGCTTTACCTAAAGACCAACAACCTCTAATTTTCCAAGTTATGAGCCAATAAATTTCCTTTTGAGGGTTGGCTGCTATGAGTTGGGTTTTTCCCCTTACAACCAAAAGAGTATTGACTAATTTGTTGAAGTCCAGCCCTTGGTCTGGGATCCCCTGTAAGTGGGACTATGCACTCCAGAACCCAGGTCTCTATCAGACCTTCTTCCCTGTATTGTTTCCGGGAAAAGAAGGGGCAGTGTGATGAAGAGGACACGTCCTGGTGGCTGCAGGACTGCTGCTCCTTTCACCACCTCTCAGCGTGGACATCTCCCCACAGGGCTGTGAGCTTTGGGGGGACGTGCTTTTCATGTTTTATTCTCCCTTCACCTCGAGCTCTCATGCTGTATAGAGCCGCCAAAAGCACGGCGTCCCCAAAGCTTGCTGATTTCTCTAGTTGGCCATGCTGCTATCAATGATCTTTACACCAACTTGTACATCAGCTAAAGGCAGATTTCTTTGCTTGGTCCTCTGTTCTCTCTCTGTCCCCCCCACCCCCCTGAAATTTACATCTTCCTGGATCTGAGCTGGTGGGGAGGAGCGAAGGCCATCTGTGCTGTGTTGGCATGAGCTCCTGGGAAGCAGAACTGAGATGAGGAGTCAAGCATGCGTTACTTATTGAGCGCGCGCTCGTAGGAGTGGGGAGTGAGGGAAGCAGGGCAGGAAAGGAACGGAGCCAGGAGGATGTGGCTGCTACAGGTAACATCCAGGACCTGATCCACAGGGGCAGGCCCTGGAGCCAAAGCACATGGCGGCATTGCGCCCATGAGGCAGGGTTCTGGCTTTCCAGAGGGGATCCGTCCGTCAGTGGCTATGTCTTCCCCGGGGTGCAAGGGCTGGGGTGTCACTTGCTATCAGACAAGGGCAGTTTTCTGGAGTGGGGAGGACAACAGTGAGCGGGCAGCGGCCCACCTCAACACCACAGCCTAGGGCAGTGGTCGGCAAACTCATTAGTCAACAGAGCCAAATATCAACGGTATGATTGAAATTTCTTTTGAGAGCCAAATTTTTTAAACTTAAACTATATAGGCAGGTACATTGTTATTAACGTAATTAGGGTTCTCCTAAGGCTTAGGAAGAACCACACTCAAGTGGCCAAAGAGCCTCATGTGGCTCATGAGCTGCAGTTCGTTGACCACAGGAGGGGAATGGGCCCATCACCGGCAGGTCCCCCAAAGCTAAGTGGAGGGCCCTCTTTCTATTGACTGAATGGGGGAGCATCATTTTCCCAAGTGGGTTGTGCCCCAAACCCTCTACGCCGGGTACTGTGGATGGAGCCATCATCAGAGCAAAATGGGTCTGTAAGAGGCTCGTGGCGGAGTAAGAGCATGCTAGCGCATATACTCGCCGTGCCCACACCCCCTCCCTCAGGCAGCCCAGGGACAGAGGACCGTCCCCAGCACCAAAGGGGCTCTGGTTGGGTGACCACACTCCCCTCTAGTGACTGGTCAGGAGCTGGCCCGGATGCAGTCAGCCCACTGAGTTCCACCCTGACTGGACCAGGGTGGGCGGGTGATGTGAGTGACCAGGGGGCGTGAATCTCAGGCTCTTTGCTGAGATGTTGGGACGCTGCCCTGTTCCAGCCTCTGGTGTGCTGGGAAGGAAGGTGTAGACGCCAGGGGCTTCCATAGCCATGTGCCGAGCAGAGAGTGGCCCTGGGACAGAGCCAGAATGTGAGGAGGGTGCACGTCCGGGCTCCGCAGAGACCCTGGAGCTGGGCCACCCTGAGCCCCTGCCTCCAGCTTCCAGTGACGCTGGCGGGAGTTACGTGGTCAGTTACTGAAGCCAAAAGATTCCTGACAAATACAAGTATAAATATGTCTTTATTGATTTTTAAAGAGAAAGGGGAAGAGAGAGAGAGAAACATCGATGTGAGAAAATCAATCAATTGCCTCCCACACGCACCCCGACCAGGCATCAAACCCACAACCAGGGCATGTGCCCTGACCGGGAATCAAACCAGCGACCTTTCAGTGCATTGGACGATGCTCACCCCATTGAGCCACTGGTATATGCACCAAGAAGTCAGGAGGCCCGGCCCTGACCGTACGCCTATTGCTGTGTGACACTGGGGAGAACTCTCCCACCCCCCCCCAGCCTGGTGATGTCTAAGCACCCTCCTCTCCCAACGACACATATTTTACAGTAAAAATTAAAAATAGCTGGTGGTGAACAAAGGCTCAGAGATGGTCTGGGAATAGATTAGAGAAGAGAAGGTTAGTAACCCCCAGGGGTGTTTCAGAAAGGAGCAGACGTAGAAGATGGGGTGGCTTCGGTCTCAGGTGCGTGGGTTGGGCTGGGGAGGAGTCGGCTGGGTTGGTACCAGGAGCTTCACGTTCGCCGGGTGGATGGCCCTCCGTGGGCGCCACTCCCAGAGCCCAGGGTGGAGGGGATCAGACATCGCTGAGAGCTCCAAGGGCACCCTCGCGGGGGACCCACCAGCCAGGTGAGGCAAAGCCGCGGAGCCCCTGCCAGGCCCGGCCCAGCCTGGCCCGAGCCGGGAGGAAACTGCTCGGAGCTCCATCCAGGAGCACTTTCTGGCACAGACACCCACACGGTTTACAGCGATGCCCAGGCCCCCCCCCCCCCCCCGAGTTTCAGGAACAGGAACTGATTATGGAAGTAGGAGCCCGCACGTTGGTCTTCTCCAGCTTAGGGTCTGGAGGGTAGCAGGCAGCCTCCTTGCCCTCCAGAGCTTCAAACTGTCATCTCCTAGATGGCAGGGCAGGGGGGGGGGGGGGCTGGGGGGGGGACAGATAAAGTAAGTAAACAAAATGAAGAAGAAAACACAGAAACCGAGCCCGTGGGCAGGACTGCAGTTCTGACTCTCCGGCCCACGCTCCTCCCCGGGCCCCGGGGGAATGACTTCCTTCCGTCTGGAAAGAGAAGAACACGGGCTCAGGAGGCACTGAGCTCGGTGCCCCGTCTGCGCAGAAGGGCTTGCCCACTGGAGGGCTCTCGGGGGGGGGCAGCTCCCGGTGAGCTTAGCAATCGGGATCCGCCAATCAAAGCCCCGAAGGGGTGGGGACAGTGAGATGTGATGGCACTTTAACAACAGTGACTGATGTTAGGAAGCACCTGCAGCATGGAGCAGACTGGCA